AGGCCTCCTCACTGACACCCACATTTATGGGGTTTGGATCAGTTGCATGCTGGTTTCCCAGTGATCAGTCTGGGGGCCAAGAGCTCCCTCTTGTTCAGGTCAGCTGTTCTGTGGGTTTCACTAGCGTGGTCTTGACCCCTTTGCTCATCACACCTCCTTCTCTGCAACTAGATTCCAATTCAGTTCAGTTTTTAGCTGTGGGTATCTGCTTCAACTTTCATCAGCTGCTGGATGAAGGCTCTGGGATGGTATATAAGTTAGTCGTCAATCTCATTATCAGGTAAGGGCATTTAAGGTAGCCTCTCCACTGTTGCTTAGATGGTTAGTTGGTATCATCCTTGTAGATCTCTGGACATTTCCCTAGTGCCTGATTTCACTTTAAACCTATACTGGCTCCTCCTCCTCCTCCTTCTTTTTTTTTTTTTGATTTTTTTGAGAAAGGGTTTCTCTGTGGCTTTTGGAGGCTGTCCTGGAACTAGCTCTTGTAGACCAGGCTGGTCTTGAACTCACAGAGATCCACCTGCCTCTGCCTCCCGAGTGCTGGGATTAAAGTTGTGCGCCACCAATTCCCGACTTACTGACTCCTTCTTTGATGGTATCTCTTATTTTGCTCTCCTCTATTCTTCCCCTACACAACCTTCCTGCTCCCTTATGTCCTCCCCACCCCTCCTCTTCTCCCCTTCTCATTCTCCTAGTTCCCTCTCCCCTCCCCCTATGCTCCCAGTTTGTCCCTTTCCCCTTCTCCAGGGGACCATGTATGTCTCTTTTAGAATCCTCTGGTGGTGTGGATTATAGGCTGGTAATCCTTTGCTCTATGTGTAAAATCCATATATGAGTGAGTCCATATCATGTTTGTCTTTTTGTGATTGGGTTATCTCACTCAGAATGGTTTCTTCTAGTTCCATCCATTTGCCTGCAAATTTCAAGATTCCATTTTTTTTCTCTGCTGAGTAGTACTCCATTGTGTAAATGTACCACATTTTCTCTATCCATTCTTCAGTTGAGGGACATCTAGGTTGCTTTCAGGTTCTGGCTATTACAAATAATGCTGCTATGAACAGATGAACATAGTTGAACAGATGTCCTTGTATGAATGTGCTTCTTTTGGGTATATGCCTAAGAGTAGAATTGCTGGATCTTGTGGTAGGCTGATGTAATTTTTTTATTGTTTAAGAATTTGATACATGCAACTGTGTTTTGATGGAGCTTCCAGATTGACACCAACTTGATTTTTCTGTGTCCTATGACTCAAGCATGTGATGTCTTCAGAATGAGGGTCTTACTATCAAGATCTGGAGGCTAAGCAAGAGCAATGACAGTTGCTTGTGATGTGTTGCAGGGGTCTATGAGACCCACTGAGCAGTAACTCAAAAGAGGCACCAATACCCGCATGCATTTATTATTTGATAGCATATGGGGTCTGGGTCAGGCATTGTGTCCCTGCTGTAGGGTAAAGACTTATGTGTATTCTTTCCTGCCCTAAGACTTTGTGCAGGTCCTGGGTTCATTCTTCTTTTCATCCTTTATTTTTGTTTTTATAATTTAAAATTTTTTATTATTTTTAATTACTCATATTTACATATCCCTCCCCCATTCCCTCACCCTCCCCTCCTTCCATGTTCCCCACCCAACCTACCCCATCCAACCGCCCCACTCCGCCCCAGGGTAGTGAGGCCCTTTACCAAGGACCTTCAATGTCTGTCGTATATTTAGGGAAGGGCCTATGCCCTCCTTGTTGTATTTGGGATGCAATAGTATACCTTCATAGGGAATGGGTTCCCAAAATCCATTTGTGCTCTATGGATAAAGACTGGCTCTGCTGCTAGTCGAGCCATAGATTGTCCTAGACTCCTAGCTGGTACCCACAATCAGAGGGTTTGGTTTGGTCCAATGCTGTTTCTCCAGCTTTATGACTAGGGTCTCTAATGCTTAGCTGTAGTGTCTGTTTCTGCTTGGAACAGCAACTGGATGAAGGCTTTCTTTCCTCTGTGGTGTCTGTTTCTGCTTGGAACAGCAACTGGATGAAGGCTTTCTTTCCTCTCCCTGTCCCCAGGCTCAATTTGGTCAAGGGTTCTTGTCCCCATCCTCATCCTTTCTAATGTAAGTTCCCTACCTTAATCTGTCTGTGTCAACTACTTTGTTAAGAGGGGGCATTATGGCTGCATTTTCACCCTTCTGAGTCACTTTGCCATCCTTATGCTCTGTCTAGAGTTTTTTAATCACATCTGTCCAAGGCCCAGTTCCAAGCAAGTGTTGTTATATTTTTTTAAAATAAATTTTTATTAATCCCAGTTCTCTCTCCCTCCTGTCCTCCCATGACCCCACAAAACCCCCATCCCACCCCCCATCCACTCTCCAGGGAGGGTGAAGCCTCCCACGAGGGATCATTAAAGTATGACACATCATTTTGGGCAGGACCTAGGCCCCTCCCCCATGTATCTAGGCTGAGAGAGTATCTCTCCCTAGGGAATAGGTTCCCAAAGCCCATTCGTGCACTAGAGATAAATACTGGTTCTATTGTCAGAGGCCCCATAGACTGCTCAGGCCTCCCAACTGGCACCCACATTTACGGGGCCTGGTTTGGTCCTATGCTCATTCCCCAACTGTCAGACTGGGGTCCATGAGCTCCCATTTGCTCAGAAGGTTGATATTCTTGGTACTCCTCAAAATGTCAGTTTTTATTCTATTTCTTCTTAATACTGGTAGTTGTGGGAACTTGACCCAGAGCTTGTTTGCGTCTTGGTGGATCAGGAAACTGAGTGTTCATGGCAGACAAAGAGGGGGATTCCACTGATATGTATTCTAGTGAGGCCACAGTGCCAAAGGTTCCACAATCCCCAAAACAAGTGCTTCCAGAAATACCAAGCATTCAAAACCCTGATCCTGAATGGAACATTTCGGATTCCCACCATAACATCCAAAAAGACTAACACATAAATAAATGCTAACAGAGTGTGCGCGCGCGCATGCGCGCGCACACACACACACACACACACCCTTTGACAGGAGTGCACACAGACACATATGCACAAACAGAAAAAGGTGTACACATAGTCCCGTACACACTGACATGCCATAATCACAATGACACTAGTCCCACAGAAAAGCACACAAATGTGCTTATAGTTACATATGCAAACATATACTCAATGACGCAAATGTGCACAGAGAAATGAATAGGTACAAGTTCACACAAATAGGCAGAGAACACTAGCACACACAGACATTTGCACACAGAATGGAAGAAAAGTGAGAAGAAGGGACCCCCAGGGACTTTGGTTTGGAGCCTCACTCCCAACCACTCTTGCAGCCTGGAAAGAGTGAAGGCAGCCGCTCTGTGAAAAGATGGGTTGGGATTCAGATGCATTGTAGGGCTAAGCTGCTAGCTCAGTGAAGATCAGCTGTGCGGACGTGGGCATTCAGGGAAGTGTGGAACTCTCATGGGGATGGGAAGGAGAAGGGAAGACTGGACACAGGGGTCAGGGTTCTGAAGCATGGCACCATAGCTCAGTTGGAAGGGGGTTGTGACTGGAGAAAACACTCTTGTGCTCAGCTGTGCTGTATGGAGATGTGCCAGTGGCTGTTTGTGGAACTGGAGGTTCCACAAAGAGAAGAGAAAGTGTTGTGACTTTTTTTTTTTGTTTTTGGTGAGAGCACAGCCATGCATGAGAAGTGTGGTACCTCAGGAACCCTTGTTATCCTCCAGGCTCTGCGTTCTCAGGTGTCACTTCCCACTCTGATAACATTCTCTCTCCTGACAAGGATTCCTGAGAATGAGTGAAAGCACAGGCAGGTGACTAATTATAGAAATTAGCACCATGTATTCATGAGGGCCAAGCCAAACAGTATAATGAACCTATAATTTGGATAGGCAAGATGGGTGTCACCCAGTGCGGGATATACATGCTGCCGGGGGGTGGTGGTGGTGGCGCAGGAGCATGGTGGCATGATGGGGGTGACCATGCAGCTGCTCCTGCTGACTGTGGTTCTGACCCTGCCCTCTGTGGAGCAATCATCCTACAGGAATCCTAGATATATTGCCACTGTTGACAAGGTGAGTGTGCTGGGCAGACTGAGTATGGAAATGGATTTCCACGTTTTGGATGCGAGTCTCAGGGCTGCTGATAAGAGCTGCAGATGGACATCAAAGAGATGCCCTGTGTTATGACTCAGTGTCTGTTTTATAGCATGGCGTGTTTTTTTTTTAATCTCACATTGGGGGTACCCAGAGCTTCAGGGATGGTTTATAGAGGTATCTGTCTCATCATCTGCCACAGAGACCCACTTCCTCTTCTGTCAGCCTATGGTCTTCTGATAAACTTTGATTAATTTCACAGAAATGACTCTGTTCAGGGTTTCTATTCATCAATGAAAGCCTCATGTATTACAATGTGCACAATGCAGGGCTGTGGTTTGCAGAGGGCAGAGCACTGCTGGGCATGGGGAGGGCTGGAGGGATGGACTTCCTAAGACGTTCTGATGTTTAAATTGATGATGTGTTTTGAGAAGACGAGAGACTCTGGAGATGGTCAGCCTTCCTCGCATGCCCTGGCACTGATGGATAAAGATGCCTGTTATGGCTTCCTGGTCTTTCATGGCATCTTCCTGGTAACTAAGTTGATGTGGCGCCAATCACACCCCATGAATTAAGCTGGTATCCGGGTACCCTGACTCCCTCTAATAACAACTCCAGTCTCCCAACAGTGATCACAAGTCCTTCCTTTTCCTCCCAGTCTTGTAGAGTAAAGGGACTGGCCAGATACTGATAATGCTCTTAGCCTGGTGCTACTGGTGACTTTTCTCTCCTGTTTACGTGTGACCTGTGCAGGAACCTTGGAATCAACCTGTCCCAGGAATGGTATCTCCCACTCAAGGTCCCTGTCATAGCCTGCCTGGCTCTGTTTGCTCATGACAGAGAGGGGCTAGCCATGATCATGACCCTTCAAAGTATCATGTTCCTCTGGTGAACAGGGACTGTACCCAATTCCCTCTGCATCTCCTCCCATCTCAGCAATCGCCTGGAATCCCTTTGCTTGGCTTTTCCTTTCCATGCTCCCCCCCTCAATGGTGGCTTTGCTCTCTAGCTTCTAGGAAAGTGGTACATAACTCACTGGGCAGGAAACCTGCCTATATCTGCAAAGAAGAAGCTCAGCCCACTGCCACCCTTCACCTTTGTCAAAAACATTCTCAGCAAGTTGGAGTTTAGGATGAATGTCTCGTGAGTACCCTGCCTCAGGCAGCCTTCTTTGTTCTTGGTTCTATGGACCCTCCCCCCCAATCCTCACTCTGACATGCTCATGGCCAATTCTAGGCTCTCCATGTTGACATGGAACCCTCTTGTATAGTCTGGACAATGTGAAAGGTAATTTCTTTAAGTTCACAGGGTACTAGCTGCAAACATAAAGCCCAGTGCACCACAGGCTGTTCTCCTACCACAGTCCCTAGAGGAATGGCGTTCTCCTTCCCTCTGCAGCTTTCTCCCAAGAACCGGTGTAGATGCTTAGCTTATATCTGTACAGGCACAGAACCCCAGTCCCTTCAACATTTCTCTGAGTTGCATGGGTGGACTCAGGGGTAAGGAGGACAGGTCCAGGTCTCTGTCTTTTGGGAGACATTCTTGGAGACACAGTAGCAGAATCAGGGCAGAACCCGGACTTGTGGGGAAAATGGCTTGGGTGGCAGGAAGCCTGTCCAGAAGTTGGGCAATCTTCAGATATGTACCATCTCTTTCTGGTCTTCCCACCTGCTGTGAATGGAATGCACAAGGAGGTGACACAGGGGGTGTGATAGGTCATGTGCCGGTGCTTGGCTAGTTCCTATATGTATAAGAAGGAGGGTCTTGGGTCGAGTCTCTGTACAGCCTTATGGATGTCAGCAGGGTGGGTGTCAGGGAGTGAGCCATGCTTTTGTCCTGTCTTACAGAAAACCCACTGGGTGTATTGAGTTCAAGATATGTCTGGATGAAGATAAAAATGAACCTAGTAACTTCTATATCTGTGAGTGCCTGGGTTCATGTTCTTCTTTTCCTGGAGCCTTGAGCAAGTGATGTGAAGACCACATGGATCATTTTGTCCCTCAGGGCCAAAGCATAGGATCATCATTGAATTCCTGGGTGGAAAGGACTTTGCTATTGCCTTCCATGTCAGCAGCATCAACAAACTAACCTACATGATGACAATGCTTATGGGTGCGTCTCTTCCCACCTTAGTTTGTGAGAGCTGGGCATGGGCTTTTCTGGAAGTGAGTATAGAGTGGGTTACTATCTCCTGCTCCCATGATCTAATTGCCATCCTCAGGGCCTTTCCTGAGATGCCTGGGTCTTTAAGAGAAGGTTTGTAAACTCTTTGTGTGTCTATCCTCAGCCCTCTCCAGATCATTCCTGAAGCACAAGGATCACAACTACCCCACACCGTCTGAGCCTTTGCTCCTCCCTTCCCTTCTCAGTCAGCCTTTCTTCTAGTCCTGTTCTAAGATGTAATCTCCTTGGAATTTTTTTGCACTTGGGACATTGGGAAACATTAGTAGAAAATGTGTTATTGTCATGGTAGCAGGGTCTGGTCTGCCATACTGTGGAGGACAGAGTCCTGCTCAACAACTGTTGAACACAAATTGCCTCCCTTTGTCTGAGGTACTGAAAGACACATTTATTAGCATATCAAAAGAGAAATGAGAGACAAATCAGTGAAGGAAGGCTTCATGCATAGTTTTAGTCAGTGCTCAGTGGAGAAAATTTTGTCAATGCTTTTTCTCCTGCTTTCAGATAATTTAGAATGTGCTGAGATTGAATGAGGCTTGGGAAAACTCAGTAAGAGGTATTGATCTGGAAGTATGAAGACCTTTTGCATGTAACAAGAGCTCACATAAATAACTGGACATGGCTGACTGGGCCATCACTGTGGAAGACACAGTAGGTTCTTAGAGCTGGCTGCCTAGACAACCTAGCCACAAGGATGAAGTTCCAGTTCAGTGAGAGACTATCTCTTAAGGCAACAATGTAGAGAAAGCTGTAGATCTGTAGAGAAAGATGATTGACACTCTGCAGTAGTCACCATAGGTACAAACAGACATACCCAACCATTCAATACACACACACACACACACACACACACACACACACACACACACACACACACACACACGCTAGTGACCAGGTGGGAGGAAAACTAGGACTTAGGCATGTGTGAATTTCCTGAGAGACAGGTTTTCAGTCACATCCTGGGGAACACAGGTATCTTTATCAAGTGCTTCATGCTGTGTCTGTTCTCACAGGGGAGTTCTGGACACTGAGGCACACATGGAGAGTAACTGAGTCCAAAATCACCAGTGCTAGTTAGAGGTATAACCTGCATGTGCTACCATCACCAAGGACTGAGAGCATCAATGTTGGCAGCACATTTCCAGCCTCTGCTTGTATTCTCCAGCAGATCTGCTCTGAAGATCCTTCTGAACATTGAACATTGGGTTGCACTGTGCTGCTTCCCACCTGTCAGCTTGGCCACCCACAGTCTTCAGCCAGTAGTCTTTGCTCTCATTAGATCCCAACAATGGTCTAGAGGTCTCTCAGCCTAGACTAGGAGACTCTAGACAGAAACAACGACTGCTGTCCACCTTCCACACCATCACATCTTGACCAACAGCTCTAGTGGTCAAGTTGCTGCCCCAAACCTCTAGGCTTCCTGGAGATTACTCTCCTAACTTAAATATGGCTCCAGGACCTGGAGAAGCCACCTCCAAAAGGTAGTAGTCCTGTTTCAAGATGTGTTTTTGAGAAGCTGGGTGCCCATGGGTCAAGGATGTGATTTGAATGGGAGTACAGTAGGTGAATGTGCGATTGTCTGCCTATGACTTCTGCCCTCCATGGATGACTATGTGAGAGTCCTTTTTGAGCACCTTTGTTGAGTGTAATGGGGGCTCCAGCCTCATGGGAGACCCATGTGCTCAGGTGACATTTGTCCCAAACAAGATGTAAACAGGATTCCTTCTGGACTGTTCCCACCTTCTCCCTTCCTGTTCAGGAATATTTAGCTGGAGGTGTTCTTTCTATGACCCTAAATCTCTCAGATTCTGGAAAAAATCCCTGAATTATTTGTGGGTCAACTGTCTATATTAAGTCTTTTCTTCCCCCTTGTTCCTTACCCATGTGTCCTGCAGGTAGAAACATGGCTCCAAAGCGAACACTACTATTGGATTTTGAAGATATTGTAGAAGACCTAGGGCTGAACAAAACAGATATTATCAACCCTAGATGTGATGGTAGTGAGATTGAGACTTTGCTTATTTTTAATTATATGCTATTCACGATTCCCTGTAAGACAATGACCATACAAACACACTTCCCCAGACACTCTTTTCTTTCTGTTTATAAATAGATTCCTGTGAGTAGTTCAGAGAAATTTAGTGCATGGCGAAGAACCATGGCATCTGCACAGGAACCGGGAGCTGGGAATATTGCATGTACGATCTGCTTCTGTAGATAGAATGTCGGCTGCAAAGAGAAGACTTATACCACACCCACATCCCCCAATGCTTTGGATTTCAGTAAAGGTGAAAGATATGGGAATATTGCATGTACGATCTGCTTCTGTAGATAGAATGCCGGCTGCAAAGAGAAGACTTGTACCACACCCACATCCCCCAATGCTTTGGATTTCAGTAAAGGTGAAAGATATTCCTTCCTCCATGTGTCAAGTGTGATCAAATGACACTTGACTTTGTTTTAGTCAGGTGTGAGCATGCTCACAGACCTGACCTTGATCATCAGCACTCATGGGTCCTTTCATAACTGACATACCATGGTACACAGGGTCAGAGGCTCAGTTTTGGCAGCTGGGGCAGCTGGAGAGAGGGAAAGGGTAAGAACAGGCATGACAGCTAGTGAGGGAAGGAGCAGGGTCACAGGCAAGCAGATGTAGGTCAGTACAAGAACCTGGAGTCTAAGTACGCCCCTAATGCTCTGATGCCTGTTGTTGGATGCTTGCCCAGTGTGAAGGCCATGGATGGGGAGGGGAAAGTGCTCTGTGAATGTGGAAGGCAGAGCTTGTAGAAGATGCCTTTGCTATATCAATTAGGTAACCTGGAGCTAAGTGTTCCAGAAGCAGAGAGGTCCAGACAGGTACTCCAAATATGAAGGAAGCAGAAAATAAGCAGGCTCCTCACCAAATCCAGATAAATTGTAAGGAAACACGTACCCGACATCTCCACTGAAGTACTGAAGGCATGGGTGTAAAGATTTCACTAGACCCAAGATAAATGATAAATGGGTGTTTACTGGGGAACACTTACACAGATAAATATAAAGAACGGTGGGATTGCTTCTCTGCCTTTCCTAACGGATCAGCTGACTTAAGAGAAAGGGCCTCACAAAAAGATGCCAGGCCTCAAGCTTCCCTCTTTCCGCTTCAGTCTGCCTGAAGCCACGCTCAAAGGGGTGTAGCCACTGTTACAGGTTCACAGGCAAGACTGCTATCAAGTACAAACAATGTCCTTCTTTCTTTTACACACGACAGGCCTTTTCTTTGGGACAACATCTTTATACAAAAGCAGAGAGGCCCTCTGTCTTCTGTTTTCCCAAATCCATAGAACCAGGAAGCTTTAGTGTAACAACTCAGGTCAGACTAGGGTTTGCCTATGTATGAAATTCCTGGAGGCCAGGCTACCATGACCATGAAATGTGTCCAGTGAAAAATCATTCCATCCAGACCCTGGGCCTCATTTTTGGCAGCCATGGAGTCTCAGCCACAGTGGATTCGTGCCCTGAAGGAGGAATGGAATGGAGAACCTCAGAGGATACAGCAGTAGTTCAGGATGAACCTGTTCATGGACCAGGATGTAGTATGGATCCTGTTCATTGAAGTCACAGATATGGTACATGTTGTACCCTCCTGCTGTCCTCTGTAGCCTTCTAGGACAGGATGGGGTCAGGGTGCTCCTGAGCCTCTGATAGGCCATGTTGTGTGAATGGACAAACATCTTCTCACCCCTGATTGGCATATACAATAGAACAATGTACAGTTCCACTGAAAATCAACCCAATTAACCAAAGAATAATGTGATTGTATAATGATTGAAGGTGAGGGGTTGCTTCCAGGAGCCTGGGTGACTCATATTCATCCACTCCACTGAAAAGCCACACAGAGGCATGGATGACAGCTTCCTCACACCTTGTACGTGTGGAGGTTTCCCTCAGCCGTTTATATATTCCAAAGTAAGACCATGGGCAGTTGGTACAGAGTTATAAGCATCTAGGTAGGGAGTCCCGTAGGGAGTGGCTGAAATATCAGTTGAGGATCTAAGGACCCACCCCAAGCTTATTTGAGGGAATGTGTCCAGACATGATCTGGATTGTTTCTTGTGTCATCACAGTTGCTTCAGAAGATGGTTGTGTGTGCTATGCTTGGAGGACAAAGTTCTACAAATGGCCTGGGTAGGAGTTTTCTCTGTCCTCTGTGATGCATGAGTGTGTTGAAAGTCATCATTGCTGTGGATCCTGGTGTGAGGGAACAACACAAAACTGTAATCCTCTGAGGAGTTTCATCTACCCAGGTGACCCCATCCCTAAGGGGGATGAGCCGCCTTTCTATCATCATTCTGAGGAGAGACTAATTATGTTTGACTTCTTTTAGCTATTTGGATCATTGATAGGAACAATTACCTGTGTCTATGACAGCCCTGTACACTTCTACTCCCTGTGAAGCTTGGCTGGCTTTATTCCATCAGCAGACCATAAAATATTAGATTTAGACAGTGGGCAAGATGGATTTCATTCAGAGTCACTCTGTCTCTGTGACCATGGAACTGATTGTCCCGCGCGATCGTCTCGCCAGCAAGAACGACACAGGACAGTCGGATCCTTCTGCAGTAAAGCTTTAATGCGTCTTGAGAGAGAGAGCATAAGCT